CATAGAAGGTTATCACCAGTAGGTGTATCAAGGAAGGTTATCATTCTAGTGAATCTAACATAGATTAGATGGTCATCACTAGTAGATGTATGAAGGAAGGTTATCACTCTAGTGAATCTAACACAGAAGGTTATCACTAGTAGGTGTATCAAGGAAGGTTATCATTCTAGTGAATCTAACATAAAAGGTTATCACTAGTAGGTGTAACAAGGAAAGTTATCACTAGTAGGTGTATCAAGAAGGATTAACACTAGTAGGTGTATCAAGAAAGGTTATCACTAGTAGGTGTATCGAGGAAGGTTAACACTAGTAGGTGTATCAAGGAAGGTTATCACTAGTAGATGTATCAAGGAAGGTTAACACTAGTAGATGTATCAAGGAAAGTTATCACTAACAGGTGTATCAAGGAAAGTTAACACTAACAGGTGTATAACTAGGAAGGTTATCACCAATAGTTGTATCATGGAATGTTACCACTCCAGTGAATATAACATAGAAGGTTATTACTAGTAGAGTTATCAAGGAATGTTGTCATCCTAGTGGATATAACATTGAAGGTTATCACTTGTGTGTCAAGGTAGGTAATCACTATTGTAGTATATATTGTTACAGGATAGCTTATCACTGTAGGATATATTGTTACAGTGAAGACTTTTATCATAGGATATATTGGTACAGGAAAGGTTGTTACTGTAGGATATATTGGTACAGTGAAGACTTTTATCATAGGATATATTGGTACAGGAAAGGTTGTTACTGTAGGATATTTTGTTATATGGAAGGTTATTTCCATAGGATATATTGTTACAGTGTAGGTTATTACAGTAGTATATATTGTTACAGGGAAGGTTATTACAGTAGTATATATTGTTACAGGGAAGGTTATTTCCATAGGATATATTGTTAAAGTGATGGTTATTACTGTAGGATATACCAGTAGGTGTAACAAGGAAAGTTATCACTAGTACATGTATCAAGAAGGATTAACACTAGTAGGTGTATCAAGAAAGGTTATCACTAGTAGGTGTATTGAGGAAAGTTACCACTAGTAGGTGTATCAAGGAAGGTTACCACTAGTAGGTGTATCAAGGAAGGTTATAACTAGGAAGGTTATCACCAATAGTTGTATCATGGAATGTTACGACTCCAGTGAATATAACATAGAAGTTTATCACTAGTAGAGTTATCAAGGAATGTTGTCATCCAAGTGGATATAACATTGAAGGTTATCACTTGTGTGTCAAGGTAGGTAATCACTATTGAATATAACATAGAAGGTTATCACTACTAGATGTATCAAGGAAGGTTATCACCATTAGGTGTATCATAGAAGGTTAACACTAGCAGGTGTAACAAGGAAAGTTCTCAGTAGTAGGTGTAACAAGGAAAGTTCTCAGTAGTAGGTGTAACAAGAAAAAGGTATCACTAATAGGTGTATAACCAGGAAGGCTTTCACCAATAGGTGAATCGTGGAATGTTATTGCTCTAGTTAATATAAAGTAGAAGGTTATCATTAGTACAGTTATCAAGGAAGGTTATCACTCTAGTGAATATAACATACAAGGTTATCACTAGTAGATTTATCAAGGAAGGATACCATTCTAGTGAATATAACATAAAAGTTATCACTAGTAGGTGTATCAAGGAAGAAATTCACTCTAGTGAATCTAACATAGAACGTTATCACTAGTGAATATAAGATAAAGGTTATCACTAGTATAGTTATCGAGGACTTCACCCTAGTTCTAGTGTCATTATATATTGTTTATAGCTATTATCATACAATATGTTCACCCTAGTTCTAGTGTCATCATACACCAAGTTGTTGTTTGTAGCTATTATCATACAATATGTTCACCCTAGTGCTAGTTTCATTCCTTGATACACCTACTATCAACAACTTTCTATGTTATATTTATTAGCAACAACCTTCCTTGGTACAGCTACTAGTGATAACCTTATATGTTATATTCACTAGTGATAACCTTACTTTGTACACCTACTAGCAATAGTCTTATGAGTTATATACACAAGAGTGATAACTCTGTTTGATAAAACTGTTGGCAATAACCTATATGTTATATTTACAAGAGTGATAACCTTCCTTGATACACCTAGTATCAATAACCTACCAAGATGTTGTTTATAGCTATTATCATACAATATGTCCACTCCAGTCGTAGTGTCATCATACACCAAGATATTGTTTATAGCTATTATCATACAATATGTCCACCCTAGTTCTAGTGCCATTATATATTGTTTATAGCTATTATCATACAATATGTCCACCCTAGTTCTAGTGTCATCGTTGTTTATAGCTATTATCATACAATATGTTTTATAGCTATTATCATGCAATATGTCCACCCTAGTTCTAGTGTCATCATATCAGCATCTTTGTGTATGATGACACTAGAACTAGGGTGGAATTATTGTATCATAATAGATATAAACAACCTAATGACACTAGAACTAGGGTGGACATACTGTATGATAATAGCTATAAACAATATCTTGGTGTGTGATGACACTACGACTGGGGTGGACATATTGTATGATAAAAGCTATAAACAACATCTTAGTATATGATGACACTAGAACTAGGGTGGACATATTGTATGATAATAGCTATAAACAACAACTTGGTGTATGATGACATTAAAACTAGGGTGCACATATTGTATGATAATAGCTACAAACAACAACTTGGTGTATGATGACATTAAACTAGGGTGCACATATTGTATGATAATAGCTACAAATAACATCTTGGTGTATGATGACACTACAACGGTGGACATATTGTATGATAATAGTTATAAACAATATACAATGACACTAGAACTATGGTAGACATATTTTATGATAATAGCTACAAACAACAACTTGCTGTATGATGACATTAAAACTAGGGTGCACATATTGTATGATAATAGCTATAAACAACATCTTGGTGTATGATGACACTAGAACTAGGGTGGACTTATTGTATGATAATAGCTATAAACAATATATAATGACACTAGAACTAGGGTGGAGATATAGTATGATAATAGCTATAAACAATATATAATGACACTAGAACTCGGGTGGACATATTGTATGATAATAGCTATAAACAATATATAATGACACTAGAACTCGGGTGGACATATTGTATGATAATAGCAATAAACAATATATAATGACACTAGAACAAGGGTGGACATATTGTATGATAATAGCTATAAACAACATATGATGACACTAGAACTAGGGTGGACATATTGCATGATAATAGCTATAAACAATATATAATGACACTAGAACAAGGGTGGACATATTGTATGATAATAGCTATAAACAACATATGATGACACTAGAACTAGGGTGGACATATTGTATGATAATAGCCATAAA